AGCCATTTCTTCACTAAAGCAGAAATTTAAAAGAAAATTGGAAAAGTAAGAAGGAAGGAAGGAAGGAAGGAAGGAAGGAAGGAAGGAAGGAAGGAAGGAAGGAAGGAAGGAAGGATTACAAAATGTGAAAAATTAATTGGATGCAAACAAAGAATTGATAAAATCTGGTATCCGTTTAAAATACAGTATGTATGACACTCTTCTATAAGGAGTCTGGGAGCACCTTTTCAGACTAACTACTGTTATGAAAAGGCATACGCTTCAAGCATGATTTGTCTCTGTACCTCACATAAATTGACACCTTTTCATAACATTGGTTAGTCTGAAAAGGTGCTCCCAGACTCCTGATTTTGGGCTATCACAGATTCACACAGCTTTTCCCTTACAAAACCTTCATTGAAAGCAATCTTCATGGTTATCATGAAATGACACCATGACAACATATCCAAACTTCATCTACTGTACATATTTCAAGATTTAATAGAGTAACAGTGACCACACTATAGAACTATGTAGGTTTTTAAAAAAAAAAATTATGATTTTTGTCTTGTTTATATCCAGATATTCCCAGTACATTTTTCTGTTTTCCTGATGAAGAAAACACAACATCAATGCCATGTTTAATTTGGAAATGAACTGGATTGTATTAATGTAGGGCTGCATTTTATTAGTGTATATGCCCTCTGATGCTTGAGTGTGCTAATTGCCGGTCACAGAGAAGTTAATGAAATGTGTAGCCTGCTAATCAGGGACAGATGTAAGGGACTCTGGTGGTTGGGATTTATGCATGGGGGAACTGCTTAGAATATTGAAGATTAAGGTAATGGGAAAATGAACAGAAAGTCTACAGTAATTTGCAACTGGAGGAAAGAACAGAGGGGCTTAGCAGCTGGGCAACAAGGGAAATAGAGCAGCCTTTTCTAATCTGGAACCATCCAGATGCATTGAATCTGTACATGTGGACTATACAGCCCTCTGGAAGTAATTTTGAAAAGGTGTTTTGAAGCCCCTCAGCAGTGCAAATCCATCTTCTGTCTGCAGCTCTTTAACGTAACTACATCCTGTCCCAAGACTGCTCCCTGCAGCTGTACTTTTTGGAAGCAAATTGAGAGCATCAAAAAAGGCCGAGGAAGGCTGGAAATGTTCTAGCTGATCTTGTCATGTTTATCCCAGAGTTCAGTTTATCTGAGAAACAATGGAAAGATAATCTCATTAGCTAATTGCTCATCTTATGAAGCCTAGGTGAATGCCTACACAACCACCTTTATTACTGTATATTCCTTGATAAATTCTATATTCTAATCAGGAACTCATCCTCTTGATATGAATTTGTCTTGTGGCCCGCCCAAAGAGTATGTATTAGGAACTGCCTGTATAAAATTTCATAAACAAATATGGAAAAAGGAAACTGAATAACCTTGAAACAAGACATTGTTGAGTGACTAGGAGGCAATGAGCTACATACAAATCATTGATCTAAGGCAGTGTTTATCATCCTCAGTCGCTTTAAAATGTGTGGATTTCAGTCAAGAGAAAGCTTTAAGGTAGATAATAGGACATTTGGAACTGAGCAGCAGAAGACAGAACTTGAAATTGAACTATGTACAAGTGATGAACATGTAATCACTAAAATGTATCAACTTTTATTGAAATTTGAAATGGAAGAAATCAGTGTATGATAAAATGGGCTAAGAACGTTGGACATATTGATGGAACAGTGGGAAAATATGTGGTTAAAAGGACTGAAATTCACACTGTTATAACTTAAAAAGGAATTTTTATAAAATGATGTACCACTGGTATATGACTCCAGAAAAATTGTCTAGATGTATAAAGGTACTTCAAATTTATGTTGGAAATGTGGACGACATAAAGGGTCATTTTATCATGCCTGGTAGACTTGTAAAAAAGCTGGAAAATGTTGGCTTCAAATACAAGGAATGATACAAAGAATTTTAAAAATTGACGTTCAACTGAAATCAGAACTTTTTTTGCCAGGATTAACAGACAATTAGAAAAGAGCTACCGGAGTGTATTCTTATTTATGATCACTGCTGCAAGACTGTTATATGCACAAAAATGGAAAGACTCTGAAATACCCACAATGGAGGAACGGTTGGTGAAGATGGAACTAACATAGATGGCAAAATTAACTTGCCTGCTTAGAGAAAGATTAACTGCTACATTTATTAGTGACTGGAAACTCCTTATGGACTTTTTGCTGAAAAAAGAAAAAAACAAACTTGTGATTTTTGGATTTGATTATTAGAAAGGGTAGATTATTATTAGAAAGAAGGAAATTATGATGTAACCTCAGAGAGAGAGGGTAAAATATAAATGCATTTATAACTGCTATTAAGAAGATCGGAAACCACTTTGTAACTTTTTTCTTTCTTTTCTACTTCTTTATTTCTTCACTTACTTTTCTTTATTCTTACTTTCAACTTAAAATTTGTACTGCTTTTACTCTGTTGAAAACCTGTTTAATAAAAATTACTTTAAAAAAATGTTTAGACTTCAACTCCCAGAATTCCTCAGCCAGGGCAGGGGGTTGGGCTTGATGACCTCTTACTTCCAACTCCATGATTCTTTGACCTACCTGACCAAAAGAGATACCTGTATCTCAAAAGCCTACAGCCTGCTTTTTGTACCCAATGGTCACCATATTTCTTGCTCTGTAAAACAAAGGACAGTTTCCTTAATCAAAACAGAAGCCTAGTCTGGTGGAAGACAATTATATGAAAAAACAAAAGTGGACCCTTTAATCAAACTATGATTGGGTTCACATATTGCAATAACTGGTCTAACTCAAGCCAAAATCAAGCAGGCCCCATTTATAAAGCAAATCCCCAAACCCGCATATGAACATATATGGAGAAATGCTAAACTTACCCTGATGCTTAACTATAGCTTATTGAATCAATTATAATTAACCTTTTGCGCATCACATGAAGTCCTTGCTCTTTAAACCTTGTCATTGTGGTGGACAACCATTGTTTATGGCTTAACTTTAAGCACACGCCAGGCATTATGGCTTCTTCGAGGTACCACCATTTGTTTGATATATGAATTCAATCTGTTATTCAAATGGCTGAAAAGGGAAACTAACTCAAAAGTGCTATGAGAGAAGTTGCAAGAGATCTTTTGCTTTGCATTTGTGGTGGGTCTTCTTCACACTTCTGGGAGAAGAGAAGCTTACAGATACTAGAGTAGTAGTCTTCTAGCAACTGGGTCTCCTCCTAACATCCATGCTGTGAACCTTTCAAGCCAGAATGTCAAACGAACCTATGAAATAAACCTGTGTGTGAAGAAGCAAGAAAGAAATTTGGGCGAAGACACTAGTGTGTTTACAGTGTGCATGTATTATATAAAAAGGATTTCCATCACACCAAGAAATTACATCCCGTCAGAAGGAATCCACAATTTATTGGAAGGAAGAAAACCTCAGGATGATACCTGAAACAATATGTATCGTTTTATTTTATTTTATTTTTATTTTAAAAGACATATATATGAGTGAAAAATAGAAATCAGAGGATGAGAAAAGGATGCAAGTCTGTAAGCCCAAGGTGACTGGAACCAAATTTGGATTAAACATGATTAATAAAAGGTAAACTAAACAGGCTTCATTCATGTTGTGGCTGTTACTTAACTTTGAAAGATAGGAATTCAGAGGAGGGGTGGAGATGCGATAAAATCAGCATAGTAAAAATAAGTGAGAACTGGAAGGTACTTCAAATAATGTCTTCTACAGACCTTATTATCTACAAGGAGAAACACCAATAATTGGATTTATTGGATTTTCAGGAGAACATTTGGGTCAGTCTTGAACTGAAAGCAGCAACTCCAAGGCACCACCACCCTCCCTGAGCTAAAATTCAAGTTGCAAAACAGACTCAAAATGTTATGGCCAACATAGGAGGAAATAAGGGATCTCATTTCAATATCACTGTTCAAAATGTATAGATGCTCTCAGCCTCCCTCCCAAAAGACACAATTTTGAGTGGCTGCTCCTGGATACAGAAAATCTACTGCATGCTTCAGAATACATAAATACCACCCTAAGTACTGCCCATCAGAAGAGGGCAAAAAAAAAAAAAAAAAAATCTCATCTTGGCCATTACATGAGCGCCAAAATGGACGCAATTTGAGACTAAATTCCCTGAGATTTTTTAATTCTGTAGGGCCTTGCAGCAGAAAACTTTGCCTTCCTACACCTTTACACCATTCCCCTCTACCAGAAATGGGGATTAGAGCAGACTTAGGCAAGAGGTCTATTTAGATCTGAGAAACTTGACAAAGGTGAGGAGATAAGAATTCAGCCTTCCTTTTGGTTGTACTACTTTGTTGAATAAAACTGAGGAAATTCTCTTCCCCCAAAGGATGTTTCAGTTTCGGGGGTTTTCGTTGCAGACCCTATTCTTACTAGTTACTATATTACAGAAACCACTAAAAAGCTAAGAAAATAATCAGTGCCACATATCTCCTTGTGGGAAAACCACAAACCTAGACTGATACTCATGCATTTGTTAGAGGTGATGAAAAACGCATGGAAGACAAAGTAGCTCATTCTTCTCTTTTCTCCTCCAACTCAAGTTCCAAGGGCAATATCTTGATCATCTTGCCATAGCACCTGGTCCAACTGCCTTTACTTTCATCAAAGAGGAGTGTCTCTATGGCAGCTTCGCCCAGATTCCTGGAGAAATGCAAGAAGGGGTGATACCAGCAATCTTCTGACCCAACGTGAGAAGAATGTTCTTGAGATAAAGGCAAAGAGGTGAGGCCCTACAGAATTAAGGTGTCTGTTAGGGCTTCCTGTAAGGCTTCATTTTGGGGAAAGGTAGCCAAGAGAGAGTGCTTGAATATCATTCCCAACCTTGAGTGTGAAGAGATAAGGTGCTGGAATGTGCCCCTGATGCAAGAGACGTATGCTGGCCTGAAGAACGATGTGGTTTCTCACCATGAGGAACTTGACACTGGGATTCAGCTTCTGGATCACATCAGAACTTCCTATTTGGCTTGAGAAGGTTCGTGTGCACAGAGGCTTGCTCACAACTAGGGCAGACATAAGCCTTCTTCTTGCCACTGAATTTTAAATGGGTCGCAAGCTTAGGATTCAACCAGAAGCTTTTCCCACAGTGCACGCAAGGGTGCAGTCTTTGTCGGCTGTGGATTGTCTTATGCCTGTTCAGGTTACCCAGCACATTGCAGCGAAAGTCACATTCAGGGCATTTGAATGGCTTCTCCCCGGTGTGGATTCGCGTGTGGACGTTAAGGGCTGGCAAACTAAAGAAACTTTTCTCACACTGGGTACACGGGAAAGGTCTGTTCCCAGTGTGGTTCTTCTCATGAATCAAAAGATTGGCCCGACTCCGGAAGGATTTCTTGCACCGAGCGCACACATGTTTAGTCTGTGGCGTTTCCAACTGCTGCTGATCAGTGACAGCTCTTCCCCGAGAAGGTGTTCTTTGGAGCTCCTTCGATACGGCTGTTTGTAGTTCCACACAGCTTCTGCCCTTTACGCTACTGTGTATCCCTAGTGGCTTTAACATCTCTTCCAGCTGCTGAGACAGGGATGCTGTCCCCAAATTTTGGGCAGTGGCATTTGGGCACTCATTTAGAGCACAGAATCGGTCATGGTGCTGCTGGCTCTTGCTTTCCGACACCCGTGGCCTAAACCAGGCCTCTGCTGGATCCCTCACGTCAGACGGCTTGCGTTTTTCTTTCTCACAACTCCGAGAGCTAGAATTGGCTCCAGCTGATTCCCTTTCCTGAGCCTGATAGGCTGTGTTTCCTTGCACAACACTTTTGTTAACTTTCGTTTGGGCTTCTCTGGAAAATGTTTTCTGGCAGGGCAGTTCAAGACAAGGATACTTTGACTTGTGGTTCTTTGAGGCACCTTGAAACAAACTGGAGGAAACATTCACACAGGGGTTGCTATGTGGACCAGCACAATATTTTACTTTCCTGGAGGGTTTGGATTTCTTTTTGGGGACCATTTCTTGTTCTTCCTGTTGACAAAAGCAACGTTTGGCCCTTTTTCCAACAAGCTGCATTTCCCTCTTAGATGTTCTTCTGGAGGGAGCCCGTGATCTCAATTGCCAGCCAGCTTGGTTTTTCTCCTTCTTACGACTCTGGGAATTGACATTTTTGCCACAGTTCCTTGGCTGATGGATAGAGAATATGTCCTTTCTTCTTGGTTTCCCCTCTGATTTTACTGCTTGACTGACTTCCCCATAGTCCAGCAAAATATTTTCTTTGAATTTTCTGGATAATTGTACTTGCATTGTAATACGCTTTTCTTTCTGCTCGGAACCCTCTGGAGCTCCTGTGTCTGATCTTTCTTCTAAAACCACCAGTGGATTTCTTTTTTCTTCCTGGGTATGTTGCAAACTGATAACTTCAGCTGTATGAGGTGGGGTCTGCAGCAAAGCTTTTCCAAGAGGATTCCCCTGACCCTTCTTCTCAGAAACTCTGCCACTTGTGGAATTAGAAAATGCATGGTCTACCTCCATGACCATGGACTGTTTATGGCATTCTTCATTCAGATGAATACTCTTGTGTCTTTTCAGGTGCCATGGCTGAAAGAAGCCTTTTCCACATACAGCACATTTGAAGAGCCTTTGGTCCATGTGGTTTACCTCCATTACAGTGGGCTGTCTGGGGAATTTTTCTTTCAGGTGGATTCTCTCATGTCTCTTCAAATGCCACATCTGAATGAAGCCTTTTCCACATGCAGCACATTTGAAAGGCTTTTGCCCCGAGTGGATCCTTTGATGCCTCGTGAAGGAGTAGTTATCATCAAAGAATTTCCCACATTTTTGGCAGAGGTAGGGCTGTTTTCTTTTGTGGGGAACCTTGGGCTTGAGGGAGAAGAGGGGATCTTTTGTGATCATTTTGTACTCAGAGTCTGAGCACAGAGAGTGTTTTTCTCCCACATGGGTTTCTTGGTGAGAAGCCAGATGTTTTCCTTCAGAGATGTTTTCCCTATATTCCAAGTGGTGATATGGCTGTTGCTTTCTCCTATGGATTTTCCCATGATTAACAAATGAGCTTTTTGTTCTCATGCATTTTCCACAATACTGACATACATAATTCTCCTGGGCGGGGATTTTGGGGTGCTTGGCAAGGCATGAGTTGTGAGTGACAGCACTTTCATGGAGAAGACCTTCACAAGCCTTCTGTCCATGGTGGATTCTTTCTGGTAAAGTGTGGTGACTTTTGATCCTCAAACTCTTGGTGTGCTCAAGATGATTAGAGAGTTTTCCGCTTCGGTGATTCTCCTGGTGTCGAATAAGGTGGTGCTTTCGAATGAAACTTTCTGTGCACTTGTGACATTTATAGGGTCTCTCACCTGTATGGAGTTTCTCATGATCAGCAAGTATGATACTTGTACTTAATGATTTCCCGCAATACTGGCATTGGTAGGGTGTTCTCCGTGTCTGGTTTCTTGGACACTGAGTGCGGTGGAAGCTGCGAGTGACGATTTTCCTGGAAGCTGGGCATTCAGAGGAATCTCCTCTCGTATGAAAGATGCCTGAATCAACCAAGGCACCGTCTACAGCCAAGCTTTTAACTTTCTTTGGATGTTTGATGGCTGCTTTCCTCACATGGGTCATCATGTGTGACATCAAAACAGGCTTACGAAGGAAGCTTTTACTACACTGGGAACATTTATATGGCCTCGCTTCCCTGTGCATTCTCTCATGGTCCACAAGCAAACTTTTGAATCTTAGACATTTCCCACAAAACTGGCATTTATGGAGATTTACTTGGTCTTGTTGTTGTCTCGTGAGGCCAATGTCTAACAATCTAGTCCTCTCAGGGACAGGGGCTGTACTGTCTTTCTTTTTCACAGTTTGAGGCACACTTTCTATCTTTTCTTCTTTCTTATCCTTCAGATGGTTGTTTTTGGGTGTTGTGTGGCAATTCTGATGTTTGACAAGAAGTTCCTTTCGAACAAAGGTTTTCCCACATTCAGGACGCTTATGGGGCTGCTGGGTGGTGTGGCTCTTTTGATGGAGGAAGAGATCTTCCTTGAACTTAAAACTCTTCTTGCAGGCCAAACATTCAAAGAGCTTCATGTTTTGTTGCTTCACAATGCTGTAGGAAGATTTGTTGCCAGCTTCTGCTGTGTGACCCCTCTGGTGACAATCAAGGAGTTTTTTGGATGTAAACCTTTCTCTGCAGTAAGGGCATTTATAGGCCTTCATTTTGGAATGTATCCTTCGATGATTGGCGAGGGATAATTTAGACTTGAAGATCTGTCCACAATCAGGGCACGAGACTTGATATTCCCTTCCTCCAGCTCTTTCTCTGGCTGTGCTTTCGTTGGCATTGCCTATTTCTGCCTTTGTCTTTCCTAACTGGCTTCGTGAAGGCTTCTTCAACTGGGACCCATTCTTATAGGCCTCTTTGGGCTTCAGACTCTGTGATCCACTCCCCTTAGAACTGTTGAACAAGTTCCGGCGAAGGATCGTTGGTTGATAACCTCCACGATGAGGCTTCTCTTCTTCACTTTCTTGCTCATCATCTACAGCCCAAAAAAGAAAAAAAAAAAGAATGTGGCAACACAAATAGTTGTACTGTTAGTGCACAAACTGCAGTAGTTGCCAGTTGGCTTCTAGATGCAACTCAAAGTGTTGATGGTCATCTTTAAAGCCCTTTCTGGCTTAGGGCCTAGTTATTTGTGGGACCACCTCTCTCCAATTGTTTCTTACCAACCCATAAGATGCAGCAGAGTTGGCACATTCAGGATTTCCTCACCCAAAATATCATATTATGAGGCCCCAGAAGTGTGCCTTCTCTGTTGCCACTCCTGCCCCCTGGAACAGTATTCCCCAAGGCCTACACAGCCCCAACCCTGTTGTCCTTTTGGAAGACAATAAAGATTTGGCTCTTCCAGAAGTCCCCAGGTCATGGCATTTTGTAGTATGCCATGACTATTTTAATTTTTTTTTAATTCTCCGGATGACTGTTCGCTATTTCATTCTTCTTTTATTTTGTGTTTTTAACTTGTCCTAGAAGCCACCTCGAACCACTCCACAATTAGGTAGCCTTACAAATCCAACAAAGGAGCACTCTCATTATAATTCGTAATTACATCTTGGTTTTGATAAGCAAATCTTAACTATGGCCCTGTATATTGTCCAAACATAAACCTGTCATCTGTCACCAGCAGTTCTCATTGGTTCACTGGGCAGATACATGCCACCCAGAGCCACCACTAGCCTATGTAGTGCCTTTCTGCAAATCAGAGAAAGGCTCCCATGGAATGAACAAAGCGAGGAGGGTCACTGTGTCTGCTGCCCTGCTCAGCAAGCAAGCAATCTCCTCGGGGACAAGACAGCCATGCCTGTTGGTTGAACGGCCCAAACGTCCTCTCTTCCATTGGTGGATCACTCACTTTTCCTTGTTTTGCCCTCAAAGGAAAGTGCTGTTGACTTCCTGCACTTTGCTGGTACCCCCTCAGATGTGGCACCTTTGTTCAGTGCATAACCCTGAAGAACCCCATGCAGTAGCCTACAAAATACGTTCCCTGTCACTGTTTGCTGGAGTTAACTAGAAACATGACACACATTAGGAACTCTTAGCTGTCCCCCATTCTCCATGCAGTGCTCTGGTCATCCCTCCCCCCACAATATTTCCAAAAAGAAAAGCAAAAATGCAGCAGCCAGGCCACTGAAAAGATGATTGTTAATTTGTACTTGGCAGCTGGAAGGAAGGTTAATTTGATGGTCCATAGGATGACTGATAGGTTTGTCCCCTAATCCTGGTTAATAAGATAGTGTTACATGTGAAGCCAGCCACTATGGCTAAGATTTAATCCAGTGGTGGGTGATCTAGAGGCCATTCCCATATGCCCTAGTTCACAAACCACAATAGCTGGTTTAACACATCCCACTAAGCCAAAAAAATAAACCAAATCTCATTGTGATTTAGCAACATGTGTGAACCCAGACAATAAGTTGAATCCAATAATCTGACTGCTTGAATTGGGTTGTTCTTCCACTCTCTTTACATTGCAAGATTTTCACAGTATCTTAGAACTACCTTTCCTCTTAAGCCAGACACCTTCAGCAACTGTTCTAACCTGAGTTTGCAGAATCTGAACTGGGGTATGTCGCAGGACTCCGGTAACGATCCCACCAGGTCCCTCCTGCTGGTAACTGCTTCAGTGTCGGCTTAATGGGGCCTTCATCTGCACTTTCATCAGAGCTCTGGAGTTCTGGGACCCAGGCTTCTTCTCCACGTTCCAGGCGGGAGAGCAACTCAGAGGGGTGACCACGAAGTCGGCCTGCAGGGGATCAAGAGAGCAGATGAGTTGGCTGAGAGCTGGTGAAACACAGCAGCAGAGGCCAAGCTGTGATTCATGTACCTAATGAATGACCTTTGGCAAGAGACTTCATCTCTGATCCTTCATCCTGAATGTGGATAATGTAAAGCAGCAGGGGACAAAAACTTTAATACACTAATCAATAGTATTGTGACAATAACAAAAAGATGCTCAACTGTATTCTCTATAGCTAGCTCACCTGCCCGCATATATACTCTTCTTACTGTAACAGTAATGTGCAGTCTTGATTATGTACTAAACCTTACGGCTGCCACAAAGTACCAAAAACAGGTGCATTCATTTCTAAAACAGTTCTCCAGTCTACATATCCTAAATGAATTCCACCTGAACAAGGCTCTTAACTCTGTGTTAGGGGCTGCCATTGTATGAAAAGTTATTTCACTTATCTTAAACATATGTCAGGAAAGGGCCCATCAAAAGATAAATTGATGCTAAGTGAAAAAAAGTCCAGGTTCAGTTCCTCTAGAATTGGAGATGGTGTTATAGACACTAGAGAGGACTCAGATCTGTCAGGGCTGCAGAGGGAGTAAGAAAAATTGAGGACGACTTTTATTTTGTGGTTGCCAAGACAAGGTAATGCTGACTTTAGCCAGATAGGAGGGAAGGCAGCTTGTATGTCTTTTCCTATATGGTTCTGCATGTTTCTGGTGCTAAGAAATATGGGAAGCTGTCATATTACTAAATGACCACCAGTCTGGCTAGCTCACATCATTTGCTCTACCAGCTGTCAGCACTTCTCAAGGATTTCAGTAGAAAAAATGATCTGGAGATGCCAGAGGTTGAACCTGGGACTTTCTGAGTATGAAGCAGGTGTTCTACAACTAGGCTAGCTTAAAAAATTACAACCATTTAAAGTTTTTCATTAGGAAGTAGAAAAGAACACCACTGGTGCTACCATTTGACTTATTTCAACCAACGTCTACTTATCGTCCTGCAGGCCTTACCTAAGGTCCCATAGTTCCCCAGCATACTGTTCCTGTATAAGGTTTTCTGACGGCGGCCCGCATGTGTGTACTGCACATCACTTGAACACACAGTCACCTCCATAAAGGCTTCCGGAACCTTAAACCAAAACAGAAAAATCAGTTCTTCTTTAGGAAGCTGCAAATGCCAGTCCCCAGGTGACTGATGTAGGGGTCACCCATCTCATTAAGCAGTGGTTTTTTTCAAATCATAGTTTGTTGAATAAGCTTCACCCCAAAATATAAACCATGGATTACAAAGGATAATGACTGGGATCACACACTCTCATAGGCCTTTCCTAAAGGTCTGAAGACCTGTACAAATTACTTCAATTCCAGTTTTTCCAAATCTGTATCTCAGATTGCTCAAGGGAAAACTCCTATCCTATCCAGTATTTCAGAACATAAGCACGGAGGCCCTGTTAGATCAGATCTCTGGCCCATCTAGTCCATCAGTTAGTCTCCCAGCAGGTGGCCTTCAGAGGAAGCCACGCTGCCACCAAGAACAGTCATGGATCCCCATGACTTCCACAACTTGGTACAACCCTTTTTTGAAGCCAGCCAAGTTGAGAGTCAACACCACATCTTGTCAGAGTGAATTCCAAAGCCAAATTACACATTGTATAAAACAATATTTCCTTTTGTCGGTCCTGATTTTTCCAGGATTCAATTTCATTGGGTGGCCTCTGGTTCTAGTATTCTGGGAAGGGGAAAATAGCTTCTGCTTGTCTACTTTATCCACAGCTTTTATTTATCTATAATATTTATTATTTTAAAGGCACACTTTTCACAGAATAAGGCAAAACAAGGCCTATAAAAACACAAAGTATGTAATAATAAAGCCAATCCATAAACTACATTATACAGTACACCCTTCTCCAATCTGACACTCTCCCAGTTTCTTTCCATAAATCTCCAGCCATCAAGCTAGCATACCTGAAAGGCACTGGAAGAATTGCAATACACCATCTGTAGAAGACTACCGGATGTACAAGCTGGGTTTCGAAGAGGCAGAGGAACTAGAGATCAAATTGC